GTCATTAGAGAATGAGTGCTTATCGAGGTCTCTCTGATTTGTCTCACCTGAGAGTGTTTGGGGATCAAAGGGCAAGAGCGAGGAGCATTGCCCGTCTCCTGGCGGTTCGGGGCTGCCTTCCAGACACGCAGGATGGCCAATGGGAAAGCGTTTGGCAGCACCAGTGCCACGGACCTTTGGCTTGCTCACAGTCACCTTTCAGGGTAGGGGTAGCACCTGCAGTAAGATAAACGAAGCCAAAGGCCCACACAATCTTTCCAAATTATAATTGGGGATGCATTACTTCCTCTCACCTGTACATTCAGGATCAACAAGCAGAGTACCCTAGAGTACCCTACGCAGGTGATTAACATTGCATTCATTACCTGTATAATTTGTTAAGCTTATGTTATTTCAAAATTACTTGAAATTCATCATGAAACTGCTCCCAAAATGTGTTTCTGCTGGGCATATATGAATTTGAAACCTTAGGCTTTTTTAGTAGCCGGTTTCTTAGCACCTCCTTGTCAGAAACATGCTTTGAGTTTTATTTCTCCTCGGCTGTGGCTGTTTCTCAACGCCGATTTGACTCATCACTCATGCACACCAGGATGGAATATTCCCGCTGCTGCTTCCACGCACTTCCCCTTCGCTTCCCTACCCCAGGTGGTGAAGTGGCTACACAGAGGCTGCTGACCGGACGTCACTGGACCGTGAGGCCACCAGCCGTACCTCGTGAGAGGGGTGAGGCTCCCTGCTCCTGAAAAGATGCACTGCCTGTAAACCCCTGTGGGCAGTTGGGTTAGACAGAATTCTTAAAGATATAAAACCAGAATGCTAATAATTATATATATATTTATACAGATAGATGTATAACATAAGAAATAAACTTAATTAAACTATGAAGCAGTACAAATGGCTCAGTACAACTCACTCCCGTGAGTCAGTTGTGAGACACTGGCAGTCCTTCAAGTCTTGAGGGCCGCTGGGTAGTCCACTGTAGAGAAATTCAGGCTCTCCGGGCACAGGCAGCAAACAGCAAGGCAGGTCACCAATGGTCAGCCAGATGACAGGGTCCGACAGTCCCTAGCCCAAGAAATGTAGATTCCAATGGTGTGGCAAAGCAGGTCTTGCAGGAACCTCAAATTACAGCAACACAGTCCATAGGTTAGGTGTCCTACAGGTAGTGTAGCTTGCAAATTGAGGCAGAGAACAAGCAAGGCAGCTGCACACTGGTCTGATGATCAAAGAGCAAGAGACAAAAAAGGTGAGGCTTGCCGAGTCATTTATCTCTCCGCCCTTCAATTAATCCCACATGCGTTTATCGGCCAGGTTGGCACACTAGACTGCCTCAGCAGTTCTCCTCTCTTCTCTAGGAGCTCTATGACTCAGGCTGATTTGATGACAGTGACGGGGTTTTGTTGTGTTTTGTTTTTCTTCTCGTTTATAGCACTGTACGCGGGGAGCATCACAAAATTGGTGGGGAAAAAATCATTATGTTTTCATCTGAAGTGTTTGAAGCCCCTTTGTATAATCAATGCTTTTTAATAAAAAGAAGGAATTATTAATATATATTCTTCCTGGGTTTTGTACCTTATTCCTGTCCCTCAGTGTCATGGTAGGCATGCAGTTAGTTGAAACTTAAATTCTAAAAACTGCATCATTAGTTACTGACCCATTTCCGTCCTGTGGATTCTGACTCATAGAGGCTGTTAAGACAGAGCAGAAGTGCCCCAGCTGGTGTCCACGATGGCAGACCTTTATGGAAGCAGACTGCCCCATTGTTCTCCAGCAGAACAGCTGGTGGGTTCCAGCTGCCAGCCCACTGGCTAGCTGCCACATGCTTTAACCACGGTGCCACCAGAACCCCTCTGGTCACTCCACACTCAGAAAACCAAACTTGCTGCCCTCGAGTCAGTTCTGACTCAGGGTTCTCCCAGGACAGGCTAGAACAGCCCCTCGCGCGTCTGACACTGTGGCCCTAGAAAGCTGTGTCTTTCTCCCTCAGAGCGGCTTCTGGTTTTGAAGGGCTGACCGTGGGCTGTAGTAACCCAGTGTGTGACCACGACACTAGCAGGGCTCCTCCTCATCGGTCACTCCCTCACTGCCATTCAGTCAGGGCTGACTCATCTCAACCCCTGTGGGTTTCCGAGGCTGTAACTGTTTACAGGCGTAGAGAGCCCAGTCTTTCTCAAAGGGCAGATTCAAACCGCACTGAAATGCCAGCTCCATTTGTGAGGCTGATGATCGTGGAAAAGATAGGTAATCACACAGCCACAAGTGGTGGCAAGAATTGGGTGGACACATTGGGACCCTCATAGATGGCAGGTGCTTTAAATGCAGTTTGGTGATTTATTCAGAAAAGATAAATATTTACCATTTGATCTAGCAATTCCACTCCTCGGTATATGCATAGGTAAGAGAATTGAAAACATATGTTCACAGAAAATGTAGAAACAATTCAAAATTCTCTCAACTTGTGGTCCATACATGCAGTAGTGTATTATCCAGCCATGAACGGGAATGAATTACTGGCACATGCTACAATTTGGATAAGCCTTGAAAACTTTATACTAAGTGAAGGAGCTACTCGCTGAAGGGCCACGTACTGGACGATTCTATTTATGTGGTGTGTCCAGAATAGGGGAAGCCCTAGAGACAGAAGTAGACCAGTGGTGGCTGGGAAGGGAGCCTGGTGGTGCAGTGGGTTAGGTGTCAGGTTGCTAACTGACAGACCGGCAGTTCAAATCCATGATCCACCCTGCGGGTCCAGTGAGGCAAGCTGCTTCTGTAAAAGATGTACCCCTCGGAGGCCTAGGCAGAAGCTCCACTCTCCCGTGCAGGGTGGCTGTGAGTTGGAGTTGCCCCGTGGTCGTGGGCTTCGGTTGCGATTGCTTGCTTCAGGAGCCGGGGAAGGGGCACACAGGGAGCGACTGCTGGTGTGTCTCAGAGTTCTACTGGGGATAGTCTTCTGGAATTAGGTACTAGGGGTGGTGATCTACAACCTTGTGAGTAGAATAATCCCACTGAGTTGTACAATTTAAAAGGCTGAATTTTAGGTTATATTAAGTCAGTGGCTCTCAACCTGCCTAATGCTGCAACCCTTTCATACAGTTCTCATGTGGTGACCCCCGACCATACAATTATTTTTGTTGCTACTTCATAACTGTCATTTTGCTACTGTTATAAATCGGGCGACCCCTCGGAAAGGGTCATTCGACCCCCAACGGGGTCAAGACCCACAGGTTGAGAACCGCTTTCTTAAGTGAACTTCGATTTTTGTTAAATGAAAAAAAAAAATTGCTTAAAGGAATTGGCTAGCACGGCGTTTTGTCATCGTTGTGTAGCAACTCATTTTTTTCTAAGCGGAAAATAAAATAAGGCTTTGAAATGTGTTTCTCACTTCCTTTATCATCTGAGATTTCTCTGGCCAAATTAGCCAGCACCGGCTGATCCAAAGCCCACTGGCGTCAGTTCTCTGACCCCTGGCGGCCCCACGCATGCAGGGAGGGCTGCCCTGAAGAGGCTGCTTGGCTGTGCTCTTAAGAAGCAGGTTCCTGGGCCTTTCCTTCACTGGGCGACTGGGTGCCTTTGAACCGCCAGTACCTGGTTAGTATTCACACTCAAACCGCAGAGGTTCCTGAGACAGTGGTACTTCTTGCCGCTGTTGGTAGGTGCCAGGATGCTGGTTCCGACTCAGAGCGACCAACCCTGTGCACACGGGAAGGAAGCATGGCCCTGTCCAGTGTTACTTCTTACGGACCTACACACCGTGTGAATGAAAAGGGTTCCCCGCTCCGCTATATTACCCTAAGTTTAATTTAGTTTCCGCTTACTTTGGAGGTACGGGATGACAAAGACAGTACAGATGACATGCTTAAAGATAGATGCGAGCACACACAAAACCCCACTCGCTGTGCCCTGCAGTCAGGTTTTCCGTGGAAGTAGAAAACAGTTCACTGGAGAACCTGCTTCTGCACAAAGTCTCTGTAGCACATCTTGATCGGCAGGGGTTTTGATCTAGGAGAAAGCTCAACTTTATTCTCATCTTATACCTAACATCTTTGCATAGGAGGGCATGCCAACTCAGACTTAGTAAGCTTCACTTGGGTCAGAATAAACATTTCCTAAAACCCACCTATTTATAGTTTTGCTTATTTGAGGCTTCTCAGAGTCCTAATCTTAATTTTAAACCAGCTTAAATCTATTCGGATTTGTATGTTCCAAAGTCTCACTGAAAACAGTGAGGGAATAAACATCTCTTACTATACAGGCAGTGTGGGTATCCAACAGACTGGTGCACGGCTAGTAAAGGCTGGTAGCCCTCCGGTTAATAGTGTCAAGAAGGTTTGTTTTTTTTTAAAAACCCAAAACACTGCCAATTTTCTGTGCACGCACCCAGTACATGGTGAATTGGACTCTTAATATTTGCTGTTTGATTCTTTGCTTCGCTGGTTAAAAGCATATGAAGAAAAGGAGTTTAGGAAAGCGAGTACTGGCCGTGGCTAAGCCACCGATGGTTGCTACATGTGACTGTGGTCCCTGTGGCTGTGGTCTGAATGATACCCTTTTCGTGGGTCTCCAGTTGTGAAGGAATGATTGGTGCAAAACCTACAGCTTTCAGTTCATCCAGTATGGCCTTCCAAGCCCCAGAGCCAGCCATCTATTCCCCGTGAGTGGTGGTCCTGTTTCTCACGGATGCCATTCTAAAAGCCAGGACCCATGCTTTTCGGCTATTGTGTACTGCCCTTTTCCCCCATCTGGGCTCAACCTTTGTGCAGAAGAACAATTAAGCTTACTGTGTAGTAGGATGTGAGATAGAACTCAAACCAGAGGGAGCAACACATTCGGAATGACTAGCCCAGCTTGGATCGACAACCGAGTGAAGAGTGAACATTCATGACTAGAAAACCCCCTGCCATCAAGGCAAGTCCAACTCTTAGCAACCTGATAGGACAGCGTACACTGCTCCATAGGGCTTCCAGGACTGGGACCTTTCTCCTCAGCTTTCCTGCGGAGCAGCTGGTGGGTTTGAACTGCCAACCTTGTGGCTCACAGGTTAACATTTAGCCCACTGCACCACCATGAATGGACTCCTTTCCATTAGTGGAGGATGACACTTAAAGATTGAATTCCTTCATTGGTCAGATTATTGACTTACATTGATGAAAACCCCTTTTTACTTTATGATTCAAATACTACATAAAAATGATCTTGAGATTTAACCATCTTTGCTTCCTTCCACTGGCAGGAATTTTCTCAAATCTTTATTTTGGATTCTTCTAAATTCAAAATAACTGATGTACACTTTGATTAAGTATCCGATGCAAATAATCATTTGGCCTGTTTTAATATTTCTTCTTGGGGCTTCTTTATGAGAAAATGATGTTTAGCATTGACTACACAAGATACTAAGCACAGAGACACGGCACTGTAATCTAGCATGCACAGTCTTAAGGTCACTTGTCCTGATACATGCAAATTAGTGAGTCTGTGGGTTTGAGGGAGCATCTGTGTACGTCCATTCTCTGCTAAGTGTGAAGCTGTCTGCGTGGACTTCCCTTCATTGCACCTTCTTGCCGCTTGATGCCTTTGGACCGGCTGCAGCATGTCCTCTCACGTCCCTTCTTTTCTCTCTCCTCCTTCCCAGTGCCATGGAGAGCCATTCCCTCCTCAACCCCAACCTACAGCAGGGCGAAGGCGTCCTCTCCAGCTTCCGCACCACGTGGCAGGAGTTCGTAGAGGATCTGGGCTTCTGGCGGGTGTTGCTCCTGATCTTTGTCATCGCGCTGCTGTCTCTCGGCATCGCCTACTATGTGAGCGGGGTGTTGCCCTTCGTGGAAAACCAGCCGGAACTGGTGCATTGAAGATGCTCTGGGAGAAGAGGAGGCACCCGCGCGTTTCCTGGCTTCGAATATTTGCTCAGTCTCTCAAAATGATTCTCGTTGTGCATGGCGGTGAGGGCTGTACTTATTGTCTCTTCCCATTTCTGTGTGTGTGTGGCATTTTTATGTCATGTTGGTCATCCATTCAGACTAGTGTTGTTTATTCGAACCACACTTTGTAGTCAAATGTAGTGCATCCTACAGCTACCTCTAACTCCCCCTGACTTCTTAGGAAAGCTTTGCTTGGTAAAAACAAAATGACGAGCGAAAACTAAAGGATGAAGCTAGGGAGCCCTTGCTACAGAACCTCCTCTACCCTAACCTAGGACCAACTAAAACCAGGTGGTGGGAACGAAAAGACATTCTGATTTGATTCGCTCTTGTTGGTTTGGGTGTGTTTCTTGCAAGATCCCCTTATTTACTATCTCTGAGGATGGGGATGAAAATAAAACATTCATTTCAGCTTAAAACTTGAAGCACTTTTTTCACATCCTGTGTAACAGCAGATTGATGTCGTTAGATTCCGTTTGGTTTATTTTAATATTTTAAAATCCAGTTATAAGCCAAACAGAGAAGTGAGCATATTTGTTTCAAAAATGACTGCTCTCACACATATTTATTTGTTTTCAAGACAGTTTTGATTTTATGTAAATTGTTTTTCATTTTGTTCATCTGTGAAACGTCAACCCAAAGAGTTTATTTTTTGTTTCCTTTTAGGTTCTCTTAGTATTTTATTTCAGAAGTTTCTTACTCATTTACAAAAGTTGTAGAACACCCTTTGTACTTAATAGTTAGCAGGAGAAAATACCTCTGGTGTTGAACCATCACTGAAATTCAGTAATGCTCTGATTCCAGAGGGTGGGGCGGGGATCCGTTCTAAGAGCTGGCTGCGTTGTCACAGTTGTCTCGCAGTTCTTAATGATCTCATTGTACGTGCATCATGTTCCGAGGCCCCATTAGGGTTTCCCTAGGAACCCATGCATGTCAGTAACTATCAGATGGCAAGACGTGATGGGGTCCTTCTGAGTTAACAGTGCTGTACTGGGGGCCAGGATCCCTTTATGAGTTACATAGCATTAGATACTTCTGTTGTCCCTTCAAGCAGTGTGGTCTCAGGCCCTTTTTGCTAATGATTCTGCAATCTTGTGTCCTGAGAAGTCTTCCGTGAAGGCTTGATAATTATCCATTGGGTGAAGTCAGAAATTTAGAGTAAAAAAAACTAATGGTTTTTATTTTTTAGAACGAAGGCATTTAAAATACTGCTAATTGCCCTGTTGCTAGAATTAGAAATTAAAGAATAAACTAGAATTGCTATGTGACTGGTTTGGTTTTCGATGTTTTCTCTTTTGTATTTATATATCTAATATTACAGCTTTTTCCTCTTGTGGCTTGGTCCTCATAAACAGCGTGTTTAAATTCCTGATTAACTGGCGGCGTCAGGATCAGCTTGCAGAGTCTTGCATCTGGGTTAAATATAAACAAAATGAATTATTGTTGGTGTAACTACTATAAAAAACAACTGCTATTAGAAGGGAAAACTCAAATTTGAAGTATATTCAAAATGAAAGCTTTGAAATTTGCTACACAATTCTTTGTAAATTTAAACAGATATGCATAATTGGCCAATATATGTAAATACATTTGCATTTTTAAAAGTTTGAAGATTCCGTTTTTAAAGTGCTGATTTCTTTGTATTCTCTGCATTCCATACTATCACCAATAAATGTGTTTCTAAACCTCTTACTCACAATGTAGCATATTGCTGTTTTCTTATAATTTGGGGATTTTATAGCAGGTTTTAATGCATCATTTGGTTCTGTGACTGCTGCTCCCAGGGCTGTGATTGCGGATCCAACTACAATGGAACCCTTGACCACTTCAGTGTTTCTCCATTGTCATGATGCGGCCTAGTGGTCCAGTAGTGACGCTTTTTATTTCCATTATGTTCAGGTACGGTCCACATGGAAAGGCTGTGATCTTCATCAGTAAATGCCCCAAATGGTATTGCAGACGTACTGGACTGGTCAGATACTCAACAGACGTCTTGACGGTGTGTGTGTGTATATATATATGTGTATATAAAGTAAAATGTCACTTTGAGGACTAAGGTCCATCTGATCCAAGCCAAGCTATTTCCAATCGCTTCATATGCACGCAAAAGTGGGAATGAATAAGGAAGACCGAAGATGAAGTGAGGCTTCTGAATGCTGGGTCGGTGAGGACTACTGTATGTACCATGGGCTGCCAGGAGATCAGATCTGTCTTGGAAGAAGCGTGGCTTGAAGGGTCCTTAGATTCGAGAATGGGGACCCTTTGCCTCACGTACATTGACTAGGTTATCAGAGGGAGGGCCCTTCCCTGGAGAAGTGCGCTATGCTTTGTAGAGGAGGAAGGCTCTGATGAGACGGATGGCCGTCTTGACTGTCACAGGCTCAAACGCAGCAACGATTGTGAGGACGTGTAGCACCGGGCAGTGTTGGGTTCAGTTTCACACAGGTCGCTGTGAGTCAGAACTGACTTGATGGCACCTAACAGCAACACTGGCTTTTTAAAAGCCAACACACTCCTTTGCATTCTTGATATAATAGGCATATCCAACTGAACCCTGTGATACTAGAAGACTGAAATCTTTTGCTATGAATACCCATCCGTCTCAGATCAGGGCAGCGAGACTCACGATTACCCGTTGTTGACCCTCCACGAGGACAGACACAGACTCTCCACATTCCCATCCCTTGTCTCAGAGATGAGTAAGTGGAGTGTTTCCTGCCCCCATGGACCAATGGGAAAGCAGTGAGGGCAGCTGGTCTCCTCCTCAGTCCCTACACCCAGGCCCACGCTGTTTTATTTGACAAGCTTCGTGGATGCTTGCCTTCCACATGCTCTGAAACGAATGTAGGTGAGTGAGAGTGTATGTGTGTAAGAGTGATAATGACGACCATGACTAACTAAGTACCTTCTAGTAATTTAGCTTTATGCAAGTTATTTCATCCTTAGAGCCCCTCCCACCTCTTACCCCCCAGAAGAAAAGCTAACTGACAGGAGAGTTGAGTAGCTTGGCCGAAGTCTCACGGCTGGGCCGTAGAGGAGCAGGCATTCAGGCTGAGACCGTCCCACCAGTGACAAGATACGCTCTCTTGCCCAGCTGTCCTGGATCTCAGAATGGAACCCTGTTTAGCGCGATTCTCCGCAGCACATGTAACTAGTGTCCCACTTCCATGTCGTGTAGTCTCTTCCGCTACCATTTTTCCACATCCCTTTTCCAGTGTTGGTGACCTTCAGAAATCAAGCTCAAAAAGCGTTTTCAGAAACCCG